ATAAAATTCAAAGACTTTTCAAGCACAAAATCAACATTTACTAAATTCAAGTACTTTTCAAGGACTGTGCGAACCATGCGCGTAGTTCCAGCTTAAGCTTGGCCATGTCAGCGCTGGTGATTGTCACGTCTGTCGCATCGTACTCCTGACCGGCGTTCCTCACCTGGTTCTCACAACCTGCGCAAGACGGCAAACTCCGATTAAAATTAATCAAACCAACGCCCCGGTCAACTCCGCCCGGTCGCACGCATGCGCACACACACACGCCCGCACGCGCACACCCCCATGCACGCACGCACACGCACCCGCACGTGCGCGCACACACACACACACATACCCACGCACGCACACACACACACGCACGCACGCACGCACGCACACGCCCACACGCACACACGCACGCACCTCTGTTTGTGAAGACTCCCTTCTTCTCGTTCTCGTACTCCTCCCACGCGGCCTTCCTCTCCTCCTCGGTGAGGCCCTCGTCCGGCCGGTTCTCGAGCAGCGAGTCGTGCTCGTGGTACGTGACGATCCAGCGCTTGAAGTTCTGCAGCAGCTCTGCCAGCAGTGGGTCCTGTCACACGCAGACAGAGAGAGAAGAGAGATAAGCATTTCAGTGTCAACAATCACAGAGAGCGTGCGCAGGTCCTGTCACAGAGATAATCATGTCAGTGTCAACGCTGCGACAACCGCAGAGAGCGTGCGCAGGTCTTGTCACAGAGATAATCATGTCAGTGTCAACGCTGCGACAACCGCAGAGAGCGTGCGCAGGTCCTGTCACACGCGCAGACAGTGACGCAGAGATAAGCATGTCAGCGTCAACGCTGCCGCGTGTGACAGGACCTGCGCACGCTCTCTGCGGTTGTCGCAGCGTTGACGCTGACATTCTTATCTCTGCGTCACTGTCTACGGGTGTGACAGGACCTGCGCACGCTCTCTGCGGTTGTCCAGACAGTGACGCAGAGATAATCATGTCAGCGTCAACGCTGTGACAACCGCAGAGAGCGTGCGCAGGTTCTATCACACGCGCAGACAGTGACGCAGAGATAAGAATGTCAGCGTCAACGCTGCGACAACCGCAGAGAGCGTGCGCAGGTCCTGTCACACGCGTAGACAGTGACGCAGAGATAAGAATGTCAGCGTCAACGCTGCGACAACCGCAGAGAGCGTGCGCAGGTCCTGTCACACGCGCAGACAGTGACGCAGAGATAAGCATGTCAGCATCAACGCTGCGACAACCGCAGAGCCTGAGCGGGTCCTGCCACACGCAGACAGAGAGAGGGAGAGACAAGCAACTCAGTGTCGACAACCGCAGAGCGCGGGCACGGACGAACGCACACAAACGCAGATGCAAATCAATTATAAATAATAATAAATCTATGTATATATAAGTATGTATTTAACGCACACACACGCATGGACGCACGCACATATGCACACACGCACGGACGCTCGCACACACACGCACACATGCACGCACACGCGCGCACACACACACATGCACAGACACACACAGGCACAAACACACGCACGCATGCCTGCAAATATGCCCACCACCGCGCATGGGCACACTCGCATGCACACAGGCACGAACGCAGGCATGCGATCGACGATGGATGAATAAACACCTGTACATGTCTTGCATTACTATAACATTTCAAACGAAATCACATTTACATTGAAAGAACCAAACTGCATCGCTGGATGTGCGAACTGAGCATGTAGCTAGACCACACCTTGGGCATCATCGGACGTGGCAATTAAGCAGCTAACACTCACAATAGGCAGATAACCACGGCAAACCTCACCTTGTACACCCATCAAACGTGGCAATCTAAGCAGCTATTACTCACACTAGGCAGATAACCACGGCAAACCTCACCTTGTACACCATCAAACGTGGCAATCTAAGCAGCTAACACTCACACCAGGTAAACCACGGCAAACCTCACCTTGTATGGCAGGTGACGAAGCAGTCGCTAGCTAGCCGTGTGCTGGACGAGCAGCAGGTCGAACGACACTTCTCCTTCTCTGATCTCAAAGAGCTGTACAGATTCCACCCGGACCGCGACGACCCAGAGGCAGCGAAGAAACGACCTACACCGATGGTGCCCAAGGTGAGGTTTGCGGTGGTTTACCTGGTGTGAGTGTTAGCTGCTTAGATTGCCACGTTTGATGGTTATCATAGATCTTCTCCTCCATCGTACCCTGCGAGCGGCAGACGCACGTTAACACACGCGTTACCATGCGCAGCAGATCTAGTCGCACGTTAACACACGCGTTACACAATAATTAACCATTTTTCAATTGTTTAAGACACGGGTTACAGGGGACCATGTGTGGCCAATGCACGTTACAGAGATGCCAACACATATTTGAAGCAATCTGTAGTTTCTGGCCATCAAATTAGTAGTTTAAGAGTCACGCATGCCCCCCGGAAAATTATTTGATTCTGAGATGCAATTTCCTGCATTCTGAGGGTCAAAAATGACAATAAATTGACAAAAAAATATTTTTCCGATCACAGTGAAATTCGTAGTTTGATACAAACTGGTCGTAATGGTGCAAAAGGAATCGAAATTCATATAAAATACGGATAAATCGTAGTGGTTGGCATCTCTGACGTTACCATGCGCAGTACACACGCGTTAACATAAGGGTGACAGGTTACCATGTGTGGCACACAGACGTTAACACACAGATTAACACCCAACACCAGACTCGTCAGCATATTGGCTGCTGTGACATTTATATCACAGAGATGCCATTTACTATTAGATCGTGACCAACTGGAAGCACTGCACAATAACGAACAATTCTTCGATCATTGCAGAACAACGACCGCAAGTTAGAACCCCCATCTGATTTCCTCAGCGCAGATTTCATATACAGAGGAACCCATGCACAATTTTCAGTTTACACACCGAAAACTTTCCAGAGTGTGCGTGCACGTACGCGTGCGATCAGTCACAAACGAACGCCGCGGGGTCGGGGGTCAACAAACGCCGCGGGGTCGGGGGTCAACGAACGCCGCGGGGTCGGGGGTCAACAAACGCCGCGGACGATCGCGCCGTCACACACACCTGAGCGAGGAATCGATAGATGTAGACCGGCTTCGTCTGTCCGAAGCGGTAGCAGCGGAAGATCGCCTGCACGTCGTGCGTCGGGTTCCACGACGCGTCGAAGATTATCACGCGGTTCGCTCCGATGAGGTTCACGCCCAGTGAGCCGGCCTTCGTCGAGATCAGGAACAACCGCGCCCTGAACGAAGAACAACGAACAAAGATGTTCAATCGTGAATCAGCGAGCGATCGCGTGGGGCACCACGATTAACTCCCGCCGTCGGCCATCCTTAAAAAATTATATGTTTGCTGTCCTCCGACCGACTAACGAAAATAGCCGTGACCCAAGTTTTTTTTTGACATTTTGGGTTCCATATTTTTTTTTTAAACATTTTTTATAGTTAAGACTGAAACACAAAGCATGTGTGGCAAACATGAGGACAGACTTAAAACAACTATTATGTCTCACACAAAAAAAAGACCTACCTACTTACCCACTAAAAAAATCATGGGTCAAGGGACAGCAAACATATTATTTTTTAAGGATGGCCCGACGTTCGACGGTGACAAAGGGTGATGCTGAGTGGGAGCGCGAGGTATTAGACTAATGAACTAATTAACTAATGAATGCGGCCGGCAAGCCGGGAGAAGCTTGACAAGTGACTCACCTCCTGTTGTCCTCATCGTTGAACACGGCCTGCCAGCGCGCGCGCAGCTCAGGCGACGTCGAGCCGTCCATGCGGAAGTAGTCAAAGTTCACATCCCACGTTCCGATGAAATCATCCTCGTTCGTGGGCTCCGGCGGCGGCGGCGGCGCAACGCCCTCCTCATCCGTCGCCGCGGCAGCAGCCGCCGCCTGCTTCTCTGTGTGCAGCTTGTCGTTCTTATCGTTGATGCACTTGAGGAAGTGTTCGATCATGTTCAGCGAGAGGAGGCTGTGACTGAACAACAGCCTGCAACGACGCGGACGGAGAGACGATGGGTTCGAGTTTCACGATCAGAGAGCAGACGGGGATTTAATACTCTTGTATCACTGTATCATAACATTATAACATAAAAATTTGCATGAATCGAAAACATGAATGTAAATATCGAACATGTAAATGTTTTTATAATTTTTCCTATTGCTGTTTGTTATTTCTGTTAGTGTTGTCATTATCGCGGCAGATCGAGAGGAACCCCCCGTGCAATAACTACATTTTTCGGCCGTGCACAGCCATCACACCGAGTGAGCTGGGGTGGTAAAGATACACTGAAGAGGTTCCTAACCCCAGGGCACTGGCAGCTGAGCGATTCGAAGCAGGGCAATGCGGTTACGCACCATGGCCTGCGCACACTTACATCTCACACAGGGATGCGAACACTTACACCTTGTCGCCGATGGCCTGCGCACACTTACATCTCACACAGGGATGCGAACACTTACACCTTGTCGCCGATGGCCTCGCACACATACATCTCACACAGGGATGCGAACAACACGACACCTTGTCGCCGGCGATGGCCTGGTCCCACACTACATCTCACACAGATGCGAACACTTACACCTGTCGCCGATTCCCTCGCACTGTGAACGGACTCGTGAGTAGCATCATCTTGCCGCTGAGCTGCGTAATTGTCCTGCGTCCTTCTGTGAGTATGTGGCCGTCCCACCACTCCAGCGACGCGCTCGCGGATCCGGCAGTCCCTCAGGCTCCGCGCGTGCCTCGGGCCCTGCCGCGCCGCGTCCGACTTAATCTGCTCGAGAATAACATGACGATTTCATCATATTATATGTTAAATCTTATGCGTGTACACATCAAATACATGTACTGAAGACAGTCTTTTGCATGGCGTCAAACAACGCCGAAGAAATTCATAACGATGAACGATGACAACGTATAACATGATTACTCCATGTAATGCTCAAATGCTCCTAATACCTTGTCTGGTTATTACACGGATCGTTAATATAATCTAAATAGTTGTAATGATTTATTGATAAACTCGTATTAGTGATAATACTCGTATAAGTGATAATACTAATACTTTTTATAACTACTATTAATTATTACTTAGCGAATCTTACTGATAATGAGACTTTACAAACGAGTGCACAGACAGAGAGATAACTTAGCTTGTACTATTATTATTATTAATTATCTTAAGCCATAATG